GCGGCATCTAGAGAGGGTGAAAGAAATAGATGAAAAACAAATGCATGGGAGGGGGGTGGTAATGCATAGAAGCATCAAGTCTGATCCAGTGGGAATGAGCTACAGTCGGAGCACCCCACTCAATCCTTTGGAAGAAAATCGCCACCTCAGGCAAGCTAAAATCGAAACACCACCCTCACCTTTAGATACAATCCTAGAAGGGAGAAAGATGACATTGATGGCTACCCCGACAGAAAAAATACACCAAAACAGCCCTAAAACACAACAAATATATGTATATGTATATATATACTTGTGTGTGTGTGTGTGTGTGTGCGTGCGCGCATCTTGTTCTTCACGTGTCTGATTCAAACAGTAAGAGGTCTGCATCAATCTCCCAGTGTTGGTGGAGCTTTTATCTCATATGATGAAACTTTTGTTTTCTCATAGTAATTTAATCCGATAAAACACATTGAGGGCAACTGAGCTGTTGTAACCCACTCAAATTAGAGGGTCTTCGACTGTGTCGATATGAGCACCAAAATCCCATTGGCGATTGCAATGTCCCCAAAAACGCCTAAGGAGTTTTCTTCACTTGTGAGCAAACATCCATATCGTTCCAACCTTCTGAGTGTACATTATTGAACTAAAACAAAATTTTCTGTCACATGTATCGATTGAATTCTCCCAAAGTCACCCAAAGTTGGTTCGGCTTGATATGAAATAAGGGCAGCCCAAACCTCTTCGTACGGTGGCGGCCATGACAGTAAACTATTGAACAGAATGTCTGCAAACTCTCTCCGTAATGGTTTCTCTGTGTGCGGCATCAATGTTTCTGTCCCACTATCCTCTATCATCACCAAAATTAATCCTGATAGTGCTTCTGCACAAGTAAGAGAACGATGTGTTTTTCATTCTCGGTAAATGAGTAAGTGTTCATGTACCTGTCATGCTGAGTCCTGCAGTTAAACTGCCACAATCTCTTCAACAGGATGTGGCAAGCATCCGTGGGCACCACGTTGCACCACATCCAATCCTGCAGCTGATTCACAATAAAAAATTCTACAAAACACCTCCTGTCAAGGTTGACCATATTCTTCAATCATGTCAGGGAATACGACTAAGAATGCCTACGAATCTTGATGCTCAACTTGCCCACCATCTATGCAAAAGTCACATTCTTGTTGCTACCTCCATCGATGATGAAGTTGTATACATTTCCCTCTACTGTGCAACGAGAGTAGAATATATTGTGATGAAATAACTACAACTCCCCAATAACCTCAATCTAAAGGACCCATCAAATCACAAGCATCTAGCCCTCATCTAATGGAATTTGGTAATCCTCACCCTACTCTTCAACTGTCTCCTCGCTCACCTCCACTAATGCACCTTGCTCAGTGAAGAACACAAATGTGCTAATTGGACAGCTAGAGGCGATGTGTCCATATCCATGACACCTGAAACATTTCTTAGTTGGAATTGGTTGGGGGTGCTAATCTTCTCAGGTGTTTTCTCACTCTGAGTAGCTATGTCAATCTCCTTGTCCGTCTTCTCAACTTTCTTAGAGGTGCCTCTGTTGATATCTCCAGCTATGGATGGTTATCTGAAGTGCATTAGATCTTGCTCTACTTCTGTTATCTCTCCATCTTCAGTGTCAAGTACGAACTTCACCCAAAGACCAGTAAGATAATAGCTAAACCATGTTTCCAACGATGGGCTTTAGGCCACCCAAATACCTGGTTATTGTGTGCTCCTCAAGCTCCGACAGATCACATTTCAGCTTAAGTTGCATAAACTCTATTATGTACTTCTCTACTGATAGGTCTCACTGTTGTAAGTAGTGGAGCCTCAAGAAAAGATCTCGACGGTAGTGTGAGGGTAGGTATTATCGCTGCAATTCTTTTTTTCATTTTCTCTCAGGCATTAATTTTGCTGCCTCTTCAAGTTCTCCCACCACAATGAGAAACTCTTCTATAGCTTTATTGCCGTCAGTTTCACTTTCAAGACATCTGGCATCTCCTTGCATTCAAAGATCATCTTGATGATCTGCAACCACTCTATGAACTCATCTGAATTCATTCTCCCATTGAAATCCGATATGTCCACTTTCACTCCCGAGTCTTTGTATCCTCCCACAGACACTTCATTTCTATATCCTTAAATAGAAACGTCATCTTTATCCTTTAACTGACACTTCAATTTTATATCTTCTAACAAACACTTCATCTTTTGACCTCCTCTAATACTGTATCCCAAAGAGTTCTGGGTCGTCTTCTTCTCCACTAGAAACATCCCTATAAAAGAGATTTAGGTATTCCTCCCTCTCTCCTCTTCGGATTTTGCTACCACGCTCGTCGTTGACCTCTCCATGGGTCCTTTCCTAAATGTCATCGAGTTGTTGAAGCAATCGACAGAACTGTCGTTGTAACTTTTCCATTATAAACTTCTGATCAGGTTCTGGCACTTGCCTTCGCGACAACATATTATTAATTGATTATATATTATAATTTATAAAATTTAATTTTTTAAAATATCATAAATTTTATATATATAATTATTTTATATTTCGAACGATAACGATTCGAACACGAACAAACGCATCATTGTTCGTGTTGGTTTGTTTAACTGACCGAATCGAAAAAAAATTGTTCACGTTCGTCTCGTTTACTTATCGAATGAATAGAACATGAACTCATTGACGAACCAAACACGAACTGTTCGCGAACAACGAGCTTTTTTGACAGCCCTAGTGTTTATCATGTATCTTCATAAAATACTATTATTATATATATATTGTTAGGTAAATTAGGGGAACCCCATTCCTATTGGGCGACAAGCCCTAGGCCCAAAGGAGGGCTAGTCACACCTTGTCTCCCTACTGAATTGGTGTAGCTACCTTGTCCTTCATGTGTCTGGTTCAGACAGTAAGAAGTCTATACCATAAAGACTGTGTTTGTCATCCTTGGTCAATGAGTGGGTATTCATGAACGTGCCATGATGAGTCTGACGATCAAACTATCATGGTCTCTCCAAAGAAAGGAGGTTGACATCCATGGACACCACATCGTACCAAACTTGATCCTGCACTTGGTTCCTAATCAAAAACTCCATTAAAAACCTATCAATGATGACTCTATTTTTCTTCCTCAACTACGTCAAGGAGTGTGGTTGAAAATATCTCTAAGTCAGGAGACTCAACTTGTTCAGTATCTGTGTAGATATTACATTCTTGTTGCTCCCTCCATTGGTGATGAGACAGCATATCTTTCCCTTCAAAGTGCAACGGTTGTATAATATGTTGGGCAAAACCACGACTAATCCCTCATGACCTCAGTCTGTAGAACCCGTCGAACCACAAGCATCTCGCCCTCATCTCGTGAAAGTAGATACTCCTCACCTTGTTCTTCAATTGCCTCTTCATCAATAACTACCTACACTGCACCCTGCTCGATGAAAGGCACAACTAGACTCGTCGAGCAATTGGAAGCGATTTGTAGAAAACCATGACATCTGAAGCATTTCCTGATTGAGATTGCATTAGAAATGCTTCTCTTCTCAAGCTTCTTCTCATTATGGCAGCACAATAATTCTGCTAATTGAACTTCTCAACTCTGGTAGGTGTGCTCCTACTGATATCCCCAGCTGTAGGTGGTTGCCTAAATGGTCGTGAATGCCTACTCTGCTTTTACTGTCTCTCCACCTTTAGTGTTACGGTATGCATGCCACCCAAAGGCCAGCAAGCTATGGTTAAACCATGTTGTTAATGGCAGGTTTTAGACCTCCCAAATATATGGCTATCGTATGCTCCACTTATTCTGTTAGATCAATTACAGCTTAAACTGTATGAACTCGGCATTTTACTCTTCTATTGATAACTCTCTCTGTTGCAAGCAGTGGAGCCTCGAGAAAAGATCAAAGATCCTGACAGCAATACGGAGGTGTTGTCGCTACGAATCTATTTTCAACTTCTCCCAGAAAGTAATCTCGTTTCATTCTTCTCTATTTCTCTAGCTCTTCAGGTTCTCCCACCACAAATAAATGCTCTTCTTCAACTTGATGGCAACCAATTTTACTTTTTGGTCATGTGGCACAATTTTGTATTGAAAGATCCTCTCGACGGCCTACAACCACTTTATGAATTCATCCTAATTCATTCTTCCCTCAACCACGGGGCTGCGTTAGAAAGGGGATGACCAGATAGCGAATACGAATGATTGGAGTGAATGATAGCAAGGTGGGAAGTGGCTGCCTGGCTGGAATGGATGGCAGCAAGTGGAGGAATGTGGAGGATGGAAAAGTCAGAGATAAATACTCCTGCGAGAATGAGCTACAGCTTGAGCACTTCTTGTTCCTTAAAAAGAGATCACCAACTCGGACGAGCTACAACCGGAACACCACCCACTGTTGGACACAACCAAAAGGGGAAAACCTAGATGTTGATGGTTGCCCTGACAGAAACAAAATCCCAAAACTGAAAAACCTAAAACACAGGAATCACATTAGTCATAGATAACAAGGATTGGATCACCTATGGAAAAGAGGAGCCAATCCCTTGAAAGAGCACATCAGTTGGGTTGCTTCGGTATTTTTTTCTCACAAATTGTTTGATGTTAACAAAATAACAAGTATTTCTCTATATCAAAGAAGTTTTTGACAAACTCTTACTTATCGGTGTCCTTTGGGATTGCTGGAAAAACAGAAATTCACAGTGTCAGATATTACCAAGATTTGCATTTGGACATCAATGGTGGCATGGGACTTGCATTTAAATTTCTCCTTCTCAAACACATAAGCTAAAAACCGCTGTTCTCAATGATAGTGTTTTACTGGTATAGCATATCTTACCTTAATCAGAACAAAATTTACATGAAAAAAATCCGACGAATGGTAGCGCTGTTCAACTAGGATGGCCTATAGCACCATATTTTATGGAAGGAAGTTGCAGAAGATTGGAGATTGAACTTTTATAACTAGTTACAGAAAAGAAAAAAAAAAAAGTGAAAGCGTTAGATCAAGACCTTCCATATCATGGGGCGTATTATGGCGCCATCCGGAATACCCTGACAAACTAATCTACGCAACTCACCAATATTTATAACCTTCTTTGAAAGCTGATACATAAACACGAAATTCAACAATTTAGAATCCATCCAGAGACCATCAATGCTGGTCAACAGCATGAACAGGGCACAGAAAACCCTAATGGTAACCTCACCTCGGCTATAATCTGTGACTGACGTGAAATTTCCTCCGGTGAGAGCTTCGGTAAACCGGCATCACCCGGAAGAGATGCCGAAGACTCAAGCTTCGGTGGTGACGGCGGCGGCTGCGGCGGCGGTGGTGATGGCTGTCGTGGCGGGGATTCTGGTTTTGGCGGTTCGGGAGCGTAGATAGGGGAGTGATCGGCATAGGGTTTGGAAGACCAGAGAGAGCTGTTTAGCCATTCCGGCACTCCTTTGTTCTCCATCTCGAATTTTGCTACACTCTAGCGTTGAATCGTTCGCCTTGAACAGCAACACTCCTGCAGTTAAGCGGGGGCGCGCCACCTTCCTGTCTCGCGTCGGCAGGACCGATAGCATTTCATGTTCCTTCTAAAGCCAACCGCGTCGATTCTAGAACTTACCCAATGAAGCTGTTCCCTCTTGATCGATATACACTACGTAAATACATTAAATTTGTGAACTCACTATTTAGATATTAAATACATCAAAATTATGTGATACATAGAAATGTCGTACATATTTAATATTTATATTATCTATATTTATAAATGAAGCATTTACATACATATTTAACATTTAAATTATATACTTTACAAATGAAGAATTTACATTAAATGTATCTTGAGGTATTACTATTTATAAAATAATCACCTTCTTGCATTACTTTTTCCTTCAAATTTCACTGAAAATTGACTTAAAAATCCAAACTCATATATATGTTTTTTTTTTTTTTATTTGTATAGTTTATAATTTTTTTTTCATTGCATCCATAAAAATCATAGCTTTGATAGTTTAAGAAAAAGATACATGAGTGATTATTTTGCAAATAACAATATTTCATACCTTTATAAGTTTAAGGCTCTCAGTGATGCCCCTTCAAAAGCTTCGTCGCACAATGAAAATGAGCATCTCCAGTGCAAATCGTTAGTTTTTTTTGTCATTTGAAGACGCGCCTAAAATGGAAGATCAACAAATATATATTTTCTCTGGTGATTATTTTGCAAATAACAATATTTCATACCTTTTATAAGTTTAAGGCTCTCAGAGATGCCCCTTCAAAAGCTTCGTCGCACAACGAAAATGAGCATCTCCAGTGCAAATCATTAGTTTTTTTTTTTTTGTGTCATTTGAAGACGCGCCTAAAATGAAAGATCAACAAATATATATTTTCTCTGACATGACTTTGCATGTGATTGAACGGAGCGAGGGAATCGTCCCCAAACGAAACCCAAGACGTACCTATAATTTGATTGAACTTTTAAATATTTTCAAAATTATTATTATCTTGAATTTGATTTATATTTATGTTGAATTTGTGTATAAGACCTTATAATTTCAAAATCATTCGCATTAGCACGTCTATAATTTATAATTAATTTTAAAAAAAGAATAAATTAATAAAATTTAATATTTATTTAAAATAGACTTTCAATGGTTTTATCAATTTTCAAAAAAATTCATGGAAACTGAATTTGAGTTTCAAACATCCACACCTTCGCGGAAAACTTATGGAGGAATTGGTAAAGAGGTTTCTCCCCAAGTAAGAAATCCAAGTTCAAAGCACACCATAATCACTAACTACTAATTACTAATCTAGTGGTCATCAAAACGCAACTTCCCTAAAAAAAGCACATCCCTACCATCCTTTATAAAATGGCTCAAAGACATATCTACGAAAACTCATCTCCAAATTTATAATGTGGAGCACCAAAA